GTGCTGCTGTTCCGATTCAGTTTTTAAAAGTGAGTTTATGTGGGGGAACCCTAAAGGGTGGGGGGAAGCACTTGGACATGGCACTTTAAAATGCAGACCTGTGCCTGGAAAGCACAGGGCCAAAGGTAAGATGTATGAGCTCTGAGTTTCTTGCCTATTGAGAAACATCTTCATACTCATGGGGGCTGAATGTTGTTTCGTTTAAAATGAGATTGAGGGGTGGGGAAGCTGTGGCCCATCAGATGTTGTTGGACAGAGTTGTATCCTGTGCTGTGTCAGTGGAAGTTCCTCTCCACCCCAGCCCCTCAAAGAAAGCCACAACCCTGCTCTGGAGAGCCAGTTGTCTTTTACCTTTAAAGGTTGTGATTGTTTTGAGGTAGCCCATATCTTGTTTGAATCTGCAATCTCTTCCCCTCCTTTTTATTCACAACTTGAGGAAGTGTAAATTAAAACATGGCACAATTCTTTAAGAAGCTCTTGTTTGTCTTTCCTTGTGTTACAGAGGCCTACTGTTAAAAGAGCCCAGTTGTAACTTGAGAAACTGAAAAGCATTCTTAATCAATGGACTCTTAACCCTGAAGACTTGAGTAACATGTATTTATTGTTTAGTCGGATAAATAATTTATTAGGTTGGGATGACTGCTTTTGTCCATTATTTATTACATATATTTTTTTTACCCCACTTCCCAGCTGCACAAGGACCACAGGCCGCTTACAACAGGCTAAAGTAGAGTACATACCTGTATAATAAATACGGTAACATTAAATCAAAGCACAGGATAAAACAATAGTGTGAAAGGCAGGAAAGAGACCCATCTGCTAAAATAAATTAGGGTATTAGATCCTTCCTAAAACGTTCTTATTCTGTCTCCTAAGTGCAGGGAGTGAGGGAGTCAGTTGAGTATCTCTTGAGATGGTCTTCCATGCTTTACACAACAGAAGTACAGAGGTATAGTTAGCAGGGAGTATCTTGCTAAGAGGTGGAATGTATGGGAGGAATATTTTGCAGGAGCTTGCTACCATTATTTTAACTCTGGCCCCGTAATGTATTGGATCCAATGAAGTTGTTTGAGGGGAGGAGTTATATGTCCTCTATGTTTAATACCAGTCAGCCACCTTGACACAGCATTCTGGGCAAATTTAGCTCCACATTGATTGGATTGCAGTGCTTCTTTTTATCAAAACAAGCTCTATATTAACAATTGTTTTTAGATCCAGATTTCCCAGTTGCCGTGCCTGCACAGCCGTTGTACCAACCCAGACTTGGAGCAAGTACCTTCTAGGCTGTAGCTGCTTTCAGCAAAGCAGAACCCAGGAGTGGCCCAATCTTGATCCTTCAGGATGATTTTAATCCCATCATCTAGAACGGGATGACAATATGGCCACCCACTACCCATGACTAAATCATATTTCACTTGAGCTTCTGTTTATTGCATCCTGTCAGCCCATTATTGATTCCAAGAACCAGTTCAAGGAGCCTACTACTTCACTGGAATTCAAGGAAAAGAAGAGATATCTACTAGCAGTTGTTCTTAACTGTGCATTTTATGGAGGCCCCATAAAACCACTATATGCATCTAAACGGGACAGAGTAGAGGTAGGAAGCAGGTGGGGCCATCTTCAGCCTGGAGAATATGATTAGTAGGGGAAACTGACACCACCTTTGTCCCTATTATTCATCTTTTATGAGCCCTTTTATGGGCCTTTCAAGCTCTGTTTGTCCATGGAGCTTTTTGGGCAGTATGGAAATGTTGCAAATAAATGCCAACTGTTGCTAAACATGAAGGGTGAAATAAGGATTTTGTCTGACAAATATGTCAAAGATAGACTATGCTCTACTTGTTAGCAATTGAATTTGATTTTATTAACTGTGCAGTGACTGGTTTGACTGCTACAATGATAGAGGCTTTATAGAGCTGGGCAGTAAGAATGACCAATCCCTTATTTACATAGGGCCCAGCTACCTATTCAGATCTACTTAATGTTGACAGGAGAAAAGAAGTATCTCCTTACATGTATAAACACAAAAAATATATGGCCTCAGACGGAAATGAAGCAAACTAACCCCCAGCGTAGCCTGTTTAGATGTTGACATATTTTGTGTGTGAAGAACTCAGTGACACAATTTTTTTCAGCGAACTGTAAATCAAGGTCATAGACACTCTTGGCTATCGAGTTGTAACTATTGAGACTGTTAAGTTCTTTTTCAATACTTCCCCCTCCCCTTTACATACATGGTTGTATAATTATTATTACAGCGCTCAGTTTCTGCTGGCTTTCTTCCAGTAACAACATCCCTGTCTTTTTTCATCACTGAGCAAAAGCAATCTGAAGGCTCCATAATTCCTTAAATTGGATTTTAATTCTGATCCCCTTACATTCTGTAAACAGAGTGTTTTATGAAACCTCATTGCTTTATGAATAACAAACCAATGATAGTTCTTTATTTATTTATTTTTAAAGTGCAAATATATGTTCATGAAAGGTGCACTTGTTTTCTGAGTTGTGAGCCTGGTGGCCAGTGCAACTGAGATAGTCAGAACATGCTTTCCCCTTCAGATGGTTGATCCGACAGATAATTCTATGACCACGGAAGAAGGATGGCAATACATGTGTGCGGGAAAAGTGATGTGCAAATCAGCCCCTCAGTGCTCCACTCTGAAATCATGGGCTATGAGTTTTAAGCATGCTTGAACATTTGGCGGGTCTGAATGTATCATAACCTGGAAATAAAGTGCAGAGGAAGAAAGACCAATGAGAAGAGGATATTTTATCTCACTAGTGTACTAGTGAATGCATTTGCTTTGCATCTTCTGCTTCCTCCACACCAGCTCATAATGTTTTTTTTAAAAAAATAAACAGAAACAAACAATTTCCCTTTAATACTTAGTGCTCTGCAAACAAGGCAATGGGCCTTTGATGTTATGTTTATCTCTTGCTACAGGGGATAGAGACTGAAGACTAGAGCGATTTCCTCTCTTGAGATTATAACCTAAGATTTAAACATAAATTAACCCTGAAAACACACCGTTTGCACAACTGGACCTGTAACAGTCATTTGGGTGGAGCATATTCAACTAAATAATGGGGCAAGTGGAATAATGTCTGCTTGTGTAACTGGACTTCCCCCATCTCACTTTCCCTGCATGTGTCCTGTGTCATTCCCAAATTTGCTACAGAGAGTTGGGGAAACCACCCCTCACAAAAACATATTTGGACAGCTCACAGAGGGGAAGGAGGACATCCAGTTGTGCAAGTGGAAGTCACTAAATACAACCCCTGCTTGCTTTTTTAAAAAGGTAATTGTAACGCAATTAATTGTGGCATATATCCTGTGTTCACATATCCTGTGTTCAGATTTAAAGGTTTATATATTTAGGATTGGAAACAAAATAAGAAAATTCTCAGTATGAATGTATTGGTGTGAGAGCTAATTTTCTGACATGCATACATACATACATGGTAAAAAAGAAAGAAAATAAGTAGGTGTAAGATTACAATACTAAATGAAAAGAATTTGAAAAGACTTTTTTCACATGCTGAAGAAGAGTAACCAGATGGAAAGTAATGGTAGACCTACTTAGAAACATGAATACGTGGGATGTCTTCACTGTGAAGAAATCTACTCCCCTGCAGTAAAGTTTGTTATAAAGAGCAAAATGGTTAGGATTCCTGCATTACAGGGGGTTAGACTAGATGACCATTGTAGTCTTTTCCAACTCTACAATTCTGTGATTCTATTGACCAATGAGAGATAATGTAAGCAGCAGAAAATCAAAAGAAGGCACTTTGTGTCTTAAGTGCTTTTATCTTGGCACTTAAAAAATAAAGGGAGACACTGATTGTTTATGACCACTGAGTGTTAGTTTACTTTTATGGAAAATTCCCAGATACTCATATTTATTAGAATGCATTTGCCAGTTTTGCAGAATCATAGAGTAGAAGGGGGTTGTTTGTTATTTGGAGGACCAGGAGTGGGAGTGCAGCTGTAACCTATGCAGATAAACTTGTTGCTGGTAAATATCAAGAGGGTTGAAAGGAATGTGACAGAACCAGCTAGCATTTCTTGGGTGTACTCTGAGAAACGTAGTGGGTGAGACATACTTCATTGTGATTGCTGTCACCATCATGGAGTTCACGTGAAAGATGAAGAAACAGTGCTCGAAAACTTTGGTAAACGATTGTTTTCTAGGAAGTATCTACTTCAGTTATGCAAATTTAAATACCTTTTTGTACTTGCTTATAAATATTTAGGTATGCTTTTTAATTTGGATTTTCAGCCTATGCAGCCTTGATGTCTTAAGGCAGGTCTTGCTTGTTGGCTTTATCAAATTTTGATTTCAGTGTTGCAAAATATAAGTTAGAAAACTGAAGTGCACAATTTGAGTTAGAATCACCTCCGTAATGACTTGAACCCTAGGCATTACTTTCAAACCCAGCATAATAATCACAGATGTAAGGATATAATTAAAAAATGTTCTCCAAAGTATGAGAGTGCCTAAGCCTGAGAATGCATGTATTAAGTGTCCCTGTGTTACAGAGCTGGTATGCTAGAACAATCTGAGGGCTGCATTCTGTTATAGGCACCCTTCCAATGGCTGCTTGTCATTACTGGGTGTGGCCAGAGGCAAAGTGGGAGGAGCAATGGATGTGACTTTTACCTTTCTACAGTAGAGAATGTTCTAGCCATGCAACATACACCTTCCCAGTCAGGCAAGCGAGATGTATCATCACACTTCAACAATATGTTCCAGCTAGGCAAAAACACTCAAGGAGCATGTGGAGGAAAAAAAGCCAGTGAAGGGTGTGGGCTGGGAGAATACCAAGGGCCAGGAAAAGAGGCCCGGAGTTCCACATTTGGATCCTGAGCCTGAGATTCCACACTCCTGATATAAAATATGCTCTTTTCTGAAGAACTTCATTTTGCCTACTTGCTTGTATGTAGAGCACCATCATTGTGCTTTCGGTGGCACAAGAAGACATACCTGCAGCAATGTTAGGGGGAAGGAGCACAGCTCAGCAGTAGAACATCTGCTTTGAATGCAAAAGGTCCCGGGTTCAGCCCCTGGTGTCCCCAGGAGGGTTGGGTGGGAGAAACCCCTGTCTGAAACCCCGGGGAGCTTCTGCCAGTCAGCACTGAGCTAGCTGGACCAATGGTCTGCTTCAGTTCAGTGTAGCTTCCTGTGTTCCTAATGGGATGGGGAGAGGAAAGAGAAGATGAGGTAAACAGGAAAAGGATGTGCTATTTCAGCTGCAGGTACCTGGCCTTAGTTCCAGTAGGGCATGGGGAAACCAATCCAGTGATTTAAAACATTCTGATTGAAAGGAAATATGAGAAGCCTGCATATTATGATTCTTAAGGGAAAAATGTCCTATAAAATGTGGTTTCCATTTCTCCTCCACACACCCAAGTTCCCTCGTAGCCACCACACTAGAACTTTCTGGTTAGTTCCTAAAAGAATTAACAGGTTGCCAAGTTAGCTGCAATCTGAATGTTTTCCTGCACCTATTTAGGTGTCATAGCTTCTCCAGTGCAAAGCATCTTAGGAGGGGGAAATCTGAAGAAGAAACAGGAGGGAAGGAAGTGTTTTAAGCTTCCCTTGACTACTTACTTTCCACAGATTCCGTACATATATCCCACCTGACTTGAACCCTCGTCCTCCTGTTCTGGTCCCATGTTTACCAACGGTCTGGAATGCTGGGGGGGCGGAGTTGGGTTTGGGGGGAGTTTTAAGAGAAAGTTGTTGGTATGGGAGGTGTTAGACTTTCCTCCTGTTACTTTTCTAATGCTACTCTGCCCTTTCCAAGGGCACTAGACAACAGAGAAGAGGCCAGTGTGTACAACTGCAATGTGTAATGTGCAGCTTGCCCCTTTCAGTGATGATGTCAGCTGCTGTTCTTAGGTACGAGGGGGTGGATTTCTCATGCTTTATCTTATAAATCCTAAATTAACAGCTGGTTTGGTAAGAGTTCTTTGGGATCTGACTAAGGGATTATGGCCATTCTCAAGTGAGTCAATCTAGTTTAATTTATTTCAAATCTATAAAAAAAAAATCAATCCGAGCTCTTTTGAAAGTAAAACTGTAATCAGCCTGCGTACTTAGATGTCAGTGTAGTTGTTCTTTTTTGCTTCCCTGACGAGAAAGGAAAAATTCCAGGCTGCAGCTATGAAGAATATATTTTAGTAAATATATTGCTTTGTTTCTTTCACGCACCACTAGCAGTTTTTGTAGTTTCTTTCAAAGCTTGCTTGCGTTTTGTGAACAGTTAAAATCTTCATATACCTGTAAACATATACAGTGGTACCTCAGGTTAAGTACTTAATTTGTTCCAGAGGTCCGTTCTTAACCTGAAACTGTTCTTAACCTGAAGCACCACTTTAGCTAATGGGGCCTCCTGCTGCTGCTGCGCCGCCGGAGCCTGATTTCTGTTCTTATCCTGAAGCAAAGTTCTTAACCTGAAGCACTATTTCTAGAAGGGTTACCGGAGTGTGTAACCTGAAGCATATGTAACCTGAAGTGTATGTAAGCCGAGGTACCACTGTACCTGTTTTTTGAAAACCTGAACTTGAAATTGTACTTGAATGGGAAACTGGTGCTTTAGTGTTGTTTAGTGTTGTTGTTTTTGGAAAAACAAACAAAAAGAAATGTGCTAAATGGTTTGGATCTTCTACAGTTGACCTATAGTGTGGATATGACACTTCTCTTCCTTTTAATACTTAACATTTACTTGGATTGGCATAATAAAGGACAATAATTCTAGGCTTCTTAAACTAAGCCAAGAATAAGTGAGTGAATAATAAATATGATGATGAAGCAAGTCAGGATCTTTATGCTGAAGCCAGCACATAATAATGGAAGGAGAGGGGAGGAGAGAGGGCACTTCACTGGGTCCTGATGCTCCTTCCCAGCTTCATAAAGATGACTAATCTTCACATATTCCATCAAAAAGGTTTCTCCTCAGTGTTGTAAATGCATGTTTAACCTTCCACCACCATTACTAAATGTGCACTCGTGAACTCATAGATATTCCTTTTAAAAAAATAATCTTTTAATTTTATTTTCAAAGAAAAAGAAAGCGAAAGAAAATAAACATACATAAAAAAAACCATACAATATTCACATATCGAGATTACTCTGAATCTCTTGACTTCTCCCCATCTCCTCCCTGGGTCCTTTTGATTCTGTTTTCAACTGCATATCAATATTTCTCCAATTTTTCATCTTCCTAAGTTATCTATACATCCTGTTACATTACAAGTGTGTTTAAAATCCTGCTAATGTTTTGACCTGTTTACAATGATTTTGTATATATATTATAAACATTTCCCATTCTTTTTTTAAAATTTTTGTCTTCTTGATTCCTGAGATTCCTGATAACTCATAGATATTCCAATCCAGTTTGGATTCGTCAGATCCAAACAGGCGGGGATTGTGACACAATCATTAAGTTGTCAGGCTTCGTCTACTTCTCTAAAAGCTACTCCTCTTTCAGTAAAATTAACAGATTAAGCTAGTGAGGTGCATATGGTGAGTATGTTGTCAAAACAAAACAAAGGCTGCTTAATTAGCAACAACAACAGCAACCACATTTTTTAAAAATAAATAAATTGAGAGGAACGTGAACAGCACAGGAAGGAAAGATATGTAGGTTTATTTTGAAAAGTGAGGCTGTGAATCAAGGAGTGACATTGCTTCCAACACACTTTAAAGAGCTCAGTTGCCACTGTAACTTAACCCCAGGGCATAGAGGGATGTTCTAGATTTTGTGAAGCCCGGGATCCAGTCTCCAGATGCACTGGCAGGGAAGTTCAGAGCTTTGTTACATACAGTACACAAATGAAGGCTAGTGCACATGTAAAAGAGCCAAACGTTTAACTTGATTAAGAAATTGGAAGTGTACTGCAAGATCATGGGCTCCTCACTCACAGGCCTGCAGTAAAATGATTCATTCGCACTGATATGAACGTGTTAACGGTTCATCTAAAAATGGAATTTCAGGACAGTATTCAAAGAAATTAAAATTACAAGTATATTATTAAACCAATTTATATTGGTTTAATAATATTATTATATTATACAATTATATTATTAAACCAATTTATATTATATTGGTATATTGAGGTCATGCATGTAAAATGTTCATTTGCACTAGATAACTTGGTTCCTGGCACATAGAACACATATTACAATACATGTGGGTAGCAGAGCTAATAATGGGATGGCCTTCTTTGCTTCCCTATCTCTCAAAAAGCATCCTACATAAAAAGAGGATTTTTAGCTAGTTAAACAGTGAACAAATCTCATATCAGGAAGGAGGAGTAAGATCCTAGTAGCTGGCTTGACCTGAAACCTTATATCAATAATTACCTCATTGCTTGCTCCTGGTTGTTCTGACAATACCTGCCTGTAGGAAGGGAACTGGAAAAGATGACCTTCTATTCCTTATAACCCTACAATTCTGTGGTTTTGTGATGTTATATTATGAGACCTTCTGAGCACATTGCAGCATGGCATGAATGATTCATCCTGTTATTTGGGCGGTATGTCATTCCAAGTTCCATAGTGGAATATAGCCAATTCACAAAATTAGAGCATACAAGATCTGTCATGCTACAGCTCCCACTAATTAACATTCATGTTTTGCCAACATTGTCCTAGGTGCTGCATGTGACAGGTTGCGTTGAACTTAGTGTGCACCCCATCCGTGGTTGGCAGTGTAAATTTCCAAGACCGTGTACAATACATGAACTGACTTTTCAGTGGAGAGTCTCCTGTAACTAATTTCTAGCTTCTAACAATCAACTCGGAAGCTATGAGATTTTTATCACTTGGTTGTTTTAGGTATATTGCCTACCAGATATCCTCTGCTGGAAAATGCCAGATGTGCTCCTGTTGTAATAAAGAAGAGCTGAATTGGATGTGCCTAGCAGTTCGAAAGCACGTCAAAGTACAAGTAGATAAATAGGTACCACTCTGGCGGGAAGGTAAACGGCGTTTCTGTGCGCTGCTCTGGTTCACCAGAAGCGGCCTAGTCATGCTGGCCACATGACCCAGAAGCTGTACACTGGCTCCCTCGGCCAATAAAGCAAGATGAGCGCCGCAACCCCAGAGTCGGTCACGACTGAACCTAATGGTCAGGGGTCCCTTTACTTTTACCTTTAAGTAAGAAAGTCCTCACTTGAAAATATATTAACTTCCAGTAACCTCCACATCTAGAGTTTGGTTGATCACACCCGATTTTTATCACTCCTTTTAGTATCTTATCTTAATGTCTGACCAGAACAAAGAGATTAGGAAGTTTCCTGTTGATTAGAATATCTTAAAGCCAAAAAGCAACAAATAGAGATTGGTGTTATACAATTACCAACTTATTTACAGTAGTAGAGAGAGAAATTCTCCAGAAACCTAATTGTATTTCTTTTTGTGTTAGATCAGTCAGTATAAAGAAATCCTGCTAGACCTTTCCCCTGCTTTCTGACTCATTTCTTTCATATGGAAAGGTTGTTTATGCACCTTTTCACAAAGGATTATCTCTTAAGAAAGCTTGTGCTTTTCCCTGAGTGTTCACACATTCTATATGCTAAGACTTAGAACCGGTCAGAAGAAGCTACTGACATGTTGTTGACAAAACAAATAATTTGGTGAGTACATTTTTACTATCAGTGATTTGTTAAGCTGCCACTTTGAATATCCCAGGAAGTAGCTACTCACGTAAAACAATAGTTTCAATGGAAAATGCTTTGCATAGTTTCCAATTAACAGTATCAATTAGTTTTCATGATTTGGTGTTACTTGCCTTGAAATAGACGCTTTCGCTTGAAATCCCAGAAGTTTTGTGCCAGACACAATGTAGTTCTCTCATGAATATATATATATTATTTCTGATTCCTAAACACGTGACAGAGGTTCGTAAGGAACATGTCACTGTATCTGTCCCCTTCCCTGCTGCCTAACCACCATCTTCTGTATCTTCCCTTTCCAGTACTGAAGTTGTCCCTTTTAAAAGCAAGCACTCTAAGGAGGTCTCCTACCTTTGATGCTGATGTGTACTTGAACCTTTAATAATTATTTTTTCTTCCTATTACTTTTACCTGGGCTAAAAAGGAGAAGGAATACCCAAGAGTAAATGCTAATAATTGTACATATAATGTAATGGAAGCAGTTCATTTACATGCTTATGCAAGCTTCTTCATCTCAGTACTTGAATGTACTACACTTGCATTTAGGTTTGTGGGTTTTTTTGCTGTGCTTTGATGAAGGTAGGCCACATTATAAATAAGCTGGTTGCCATGGTGAAAATCAGAGTCCTTGTCTGTTGTGTATAACCTTTCCTATCTTTCTGGACACTATAGAGACAGTGTATGTGTAATATAATACATATTAAAGTATGTGTGTATGCTTAGTGGTAGCTGGATAGATAATGTGTCCAGTATAGAGGAGTTGAACAGAATCTCATTTATATTGGGTGATATTTGGACATAGGTGGCAAATTCAACACTCCACTCATCTTTGATTTAAGATGCCTTAAAACTGGGAAATATTCTGGGGCCTTGTCTTGAAAAAATATTGAACAGTTGCAGATAATTGATTATGAAGCTGCAAGGTCAATGCATCCTAATATAAAGAGTTAGGTTGGTGCAACAGGCTCTGCCTAGCCAGCTACGAAGCCTGTTGGAAACAGTTGACTCACATGTTTATCATGCAACTGTCTCCAGATTCCAAGGACTTGGAAGTTTATTTTAGTCTCAATGACTCTGATAGCTGAGGAAGGCTCTTCACTGTACTTTGCAAGACACTCTGCTCATTAAGCTATTAAGGCCATTGTTCTCTGCATCAGTGTTTATTTTATTTGGCTGATAAGTGCAATAAGAGGACAAGAGAAACTAGATAATTTGAAATTGGAATAACGGCAGTATGAATCAGCAAGCACTGTCTCTTTCCATCTAGTAGTGTAGGAAATTCTTTGTACCCCTTAATATTTCATGTGCTCAGCTTCTCGGCTAGCGTTGCTCCTAGCTAGACCACCTTTATCTGATTGCCGACTAGACAGGTGATATTTATTTTGAATTATAGTAACTGCTTTGGATTGGAGGTTGTGCCGTAGAGATTGCAGTACAAAATCCTTTAAATTTTGCAATTGGAACTAAGTATGCAGTGTTATTTACATTTGTGAAAATATGACTTGAAATCAGCCTCTTGCTAACTATGGTTTGAACCAACCAATATTCCCAGAGTTCATCTGCAATGGGGATCTATGGTTTGCTTAAAACTGGAACCATATGCTTTTGGTTTCTTCTGTTAGTGAATGAAAGAGGAAGACAGTGCAAGAATGAGACTTGCTACAGTTTGTTCATGTAGCAATAAACCATGCTTTTCCAAAACAGGCCAATGAGGATTATCCCTGGTAAGCTTTGGAAGGCCATTCTGTTCCTTCAGAAAATGGCTTGAGAAGAGCTTTTTGTTATGTTTTATTACTGTTTATTAATATGCCACCATTTGGCCAAAAAAAGGGGGCCCCAAGGCCTTTTTTCAGACACAAACAATACAAACGACGATTCAAAACTAAATCTTAACATTTCAAAAAATATTAAGACCAAATACATGCATGTTCCTGCCCAAAAGGCAAAGTGCAGTCCCCAGAAAAATGCTAGAGAGAACAAGAGTAAATACTTCAGCATGTCTTCCTTATAAGAATCTCAGGCAGGGGTTGAGGTGGGGCAAAACAGGTGGAAAGCTTGCCCCATGATGGTTCCTGCAGTTTTTCTCCTGTAGCAATATTATTCAAAAATTATTTCATTGTGTATGTTGTGGGACAGCACTCAGGATCTGATGAAAGCCAGTAGCCTTAAGGGACCCGGTTTGCGAAATTCAGGTCTCAATTACTCCACACACTTACCTTTAAGCTTAATGGCGAGAGATGAGAGGCAAATTGGCAGTAGCTCCAGAGGAATGCTAGAAAGTACTGACTGATAAATGCAAGGTTATCATGTCAATAGAACGGAGGGAATTTTTGACTTGGAAACCACCCTCACTCCTGCTGCATTCATTTATATATATATATTTTTTTAAGCTTTAGCTCTAGCCTCTCCAGCCATTTTTGCAAATCTGTGGAGAGGTAATTTGGGATTCTGGAAACTAGCAACATGGCAAACAGTGGTAGTGTTAAAACAGGTCACGTTCAGTAAGGAAATAGGGGCAATGGAGAAGATAACACATTGGTGAACTGGATGGAGATGGTAGTGGTGGTGCATGTCAGGGATGAATGTTGGGACAGCCTTAGCCATGGGTAGGCAAACTAAGGCCCATGGGCCAGAGACCCAGTCGCCTTCTCAATCCAGCCCATGAACGGTCCGGGAATCAGCATGTTTTTACATGAGTAATATGTGTGCTTTTATTCAAAAAGCATCTCTGGGTTATTTGTGGGGCATAGGAATTAGTTCTTTTTCTTCTTCAAAATAAAGTCTGGCCCCCCACAAGGTCTGAGGGACAGTGGAGCGGCCCCCTGCTGAAAAAGGTTGCTGACCCCTGTTAGAGCATGGGTTGGCAAACTAAGGCCCAGGGGCCGGATCCAGCCCAATCGGCTTCTAAATCCGGCCCGCGGACAGTCTGGGAATCAGTGTGTTTTTACATGAGTAGAATGTGTTCTTTTATTCAAAATGCATCTCTGGGTGATTTGTGGGGCATAGGAATTCATTCATCCCCCCCCCCACGGTCTGGCCCCCTACAAGGTCTGAGGGACAGTGGACCGGCCCCCTGCTGAAAAAGTTTGCTGACCCCTGGCCTAAGCCTAGGAAAGCATGCTGTGATAGGAAGATAACATAGAGTTGCTGCGAGAGAAAGAGGGAAGGGAGCTGTAGGGCTGTTGGGGTCTATCCAGGGTTAGCCCAATAAATGGAGATACTCTGACATGCACAAACCTAAGACTGATTTGCTGAACTGCACAGATCTCTTTCCAACCATTCCCTTTTTTGTGCCTTAAAAATGCTTCCATCGTTCATCAGTCTGAAAATACATTTGTGGCTGGAATTTGAGGTTGCTGTTCAGTGCAAACCTGCAACACCCTTTCACTTATCTCTGCTTGTGGTTCTTGGCTGAGACTACCTGCTCTGTGATTGAAATAATCCCCTACACCGTTTACGACCTTTTTCTGCCCAGGAGTCAATCTGTTTCTAATTTGAAGTGTACTTTACATAGGCATTTTAACTCTTGAAAAGGTAGCTGCATTCTCTTCAAGCTCAGCTTCTCTGTGCCAGGCTATATAAGTTTTAACTGAAAATAGTTGCACTTGAAAATGGATAGCATTAGGTACCTCTTGTGTGTGGGAAATCGCTGGATGGTGGGGCTCATGGCTGGCAGTCCTCTGTATGCACAGCTGCTGCAGCCTGAGAGTCTGATCTTCTCTGTTGGCCCAGATTTGGGGGCCACTTCTTATGTTGCAGCTTGTACTTTGTTATGAATAAAAAAGGTAAAGGGACCCCTGGCAGTTAAGTCCAGTCGTGAATGACTCTGGGGTTGCAGCGCTCATCTTGCTTTACTGGTTGAGAGAGCTGGCGTTTGTTATGAATACCTGAATGCAAAAAGAGACATGGGTTTTGAAGGGAGCATGCAGATACAGTGGTACCTCGGGATGCGAACAGGATCTGTTCCAGAGCCCCGTTCGCACCCTGAAGCGAACGTAACCCGTGTCTGCGTGTCTGCGCGTGCGCGGGCCACGTTTTGGCGCTTCTGCGCATGCGCGTGATGTCATTTTGATGGTCTGCACATGCGCGCACGGCGAAACCCAGAAGTAATGCGCGCTGTTACTTCTGGGTCGCCGCGGAGCGCAACCCGAAAATGCCTAACCTGAAGCATATTCCTGAGGTATGACTGTATAAGCCTTATTTTATCCTTGATAATGTTCATTGGTGGTGAGTAGGGAAGGATCTGACCGCCATTTGCACATTTTAATCCATGATGAGGGGATACGGGAGAAAGAAGCATTAATATATTAATTTTAATATCTATAAACTGCCCTTCATCAAAATAGATTACAGCTTGGTTTAAAACATTATACATTGGTCAGTGGCTATTCCAAAATGGATAAAAGTGCCTAGCTTTGGAAATGCTCCAGATGTTGGCTTTTAACCACACCCCTGGTTAGCATAGATAGCAATACTGCATACAGATGAGTGAGTGGGCTGTCAGAAGGATGGTGTTTACCAGCAAATACCAGTTGCTGGGAAGAGGTGTCACTACATTTGGGTCCTGCTTGTTTTGGGCTACCCACAGACATCTGATTGGCCACTGTGAGAACAGAATGCTTGACTAGATGGACCTTTGATCTGATTCAATAGGGCTCTCCTCCCTGCCTACCACAGAAATCAAGCAGGCTGCCAGAAGATGAGTAGAAGACTTGATCTATCCTCTGGTAGCCCACTGCATTTCTATGCTGGGTATGGAAGAAAGCACTTTGGCCTCCTCCATGTGCAGCATAGAAACTATGTGGGCTGCCAGAGGATGAATGCAGAGCTTTGTCCTTCTTCTAACAGCTCATTACATCGCCATATAAACATGCAGGAGATGAGGTTCCTTCCTATGTGCACAGATACTAAGCATGCTAGTGCCAGAGGGAAGGAGCACTCCTTTCCTCTACTGCCTCCATTGTTGGTAGGCAAACATCATGCATATCTAGCACAGAAGTGCATCAGGTTGGTAGTGAATGAACAGAGGGATCAATTTCTCCATTGCCAGGTGGGGAAATTGGATGTGGAGAAAGCAGCTGCCTCTTCCATGCATCCGGCACAGAAATGGAGTGGTAACTGGTTGGGTTTCTATACTTGGTGAGCATGACAGTTCATCTGGTGTGCAAACATGGTGAGTGATGGTAAAGGGGCAGAACAACCCATATACCTTTCTTGCTGGCCTGCTGAACTTCTGTACTAGACAAAGCCCTTTGCTGCATGGCCAGCATAGAAATCAAGTGGGTTGATATCAGAGGCATGGATCACTCCATCTTTCCACCACCAGCCTGCTATGTGTCCTTTCTGGATATGCAGGACACAAAAGTTGCACCAGTCTTGCTTTTAACCACTCCCCTAAACATGCAGGGTGCGCAGCACAGGAACCATGTGGTCTGGCAGAAGAAGCAAAGATCACTCTGTGCCCCTTTGTCAGTGCAATTTATGCCCCTTTGTCAGTGTTTGTTGCCTGTAAAATATTTTACTTGCCTGCATTTTACTCACAAGAGGGTCTGGAAAAGGAAAAACACTGTGCTCTGTTCCTCCTCCACAAGCTTTGACTAAAAAGTATGTGAGTAAAGTTTTTTGCAGGCTAGTAACTTTCTGAGACTAATTTACATGGTTGGTTTAAGCCCTAGTGTCTTCTGGAGATACCAAAAGAATCTGATGCAAGTGTTCAGAAAAAAATCCCCAATAATACCAAAGATGTACCACTTAAGGTTTCAGGTAGAGATTGTTTGAATTCTGTACTACTAATCCCTGCACACAAACATATTTTTGACATTCCAAATATAGAGGGCTTAAACAAATAAAGAATATGAATGTCTTTTTTGGTGTTTTTGAACTAGTATTGCATAACTTTAAGTCAGAACTATTTTTAATCTTGTTGGGCGTATATCTGAATATTTTATCCTGTTCTATCTTTCAGTTTATTTTGGATTTTGTAAATAAATTGACAACTGGTTTTCTTTACATTGTTATTTTTGCAGCTTAAAAAATGTTTTAGATCACATCTGTCTCTGTCGCTCTCTCTCTCTGCCTCTCTTTTAGAAGAAAAAAAGACTTGTTTTTCTTGCTCTCCATGCTTCTCCCATGTAGAGAGCCCCTAGATTTTGCCTCTGATTCTTTCATAAATCCCCCAGTGAAGGTGGAATCTATGTTACAATAGAGGTGGTTGTAAGGGCAGCTGACAGATGAAATGTTACAGTGGCACGTATTGTATCCTAAGCAGGGTTGTATATAGACCTCATGATGGGCTGGCTTAGGTATTTACTTAGAAGCATTTCTAGAGGGCAACCTCATTGGGCTAAAAAAGCGTGCCTGAACAAGGAGCCTGTTGTTTGTGCTTGGCTCCTCTCACTCACTGGGAGAAAAAAACACACACAAATGCCTGGCAGTCAGAAAGCTATTCAGTAGGCAGAGAGGTGTCTAGGAGGCCTCGGTCACTCATCAGATGCTGTAAAAGCCCTCACCCTGTTGTAATTCCTGGATAAAAGCAGCGCCATATCAGCTGTCTCTTTTTTGTGGTGGAAATGCTAGAAAAGAGCTCTAAGTGGAGTTAGGTGGTTTAGAAGCTAGATATGAAAATCATCTGTCTCCCCAGAAATAACAAAAGGAAAGGGGGGGGGAGAGAAGTAGTTTGAACTGGGATCTTGCCTCAGAAATCAAGCTATCATAATACAGCTGGTGCAAGTTGCTTGACTGCTGCTTAGATGTTGTTAATTCTGAATTGTAAACCAAGGTTGACTGTGTTCACTTGCTGAGAGGAGGCTGCAGAGTAACAGCCCAGGGTGCGGTGTGGGGTCTCAGGAACACTGGGCACGTTAAGAAAGAAGGGGATAAGTTGGCTGTTTGGGTGTGCTACTGGATTCAGTGCTATTTCCTGATTTGCTGGCTTCCCTTGCACATGGTGTGCACCAAACTCATCAGTATGTGCTTCCTCTGTCCACATTGCTCCTATGGTTCAGATTTGAATTTCCCACTCTGATGCTGGTGACCTCAAGAAAGGCTTACCTTTCAGCCATGGGGATCCCAAAGGAAAATAAACAAGGACAGGGAAAATTTGGGGACGATTTTCTATGCTGGAGTACCCAACATGGTGTCTGTGAGCCCCCTTCCCCAATTTTTAATGATTTTTTGTTTGTTGTGGTGAGGTGTTGCCCACATTTTCCTTTTTTTCATTTGTTATGGGGTATGTTCTTCCCTACATCATCCATGTTCTTTCTGTCCTTGGTCCAAAGCAGAACTACCATACTTCTTTCTATAAGTTTGCATTGTTCTTTCCATTTCTGGAAAGCCTTTTCTAGAGGACCTTTTCAGGTGCCCTGATGACCACACCTTTTTGTCTTTCTGCTTCTCTGATGAATGTAGTTACTAAAGGTTGTCTTCCACTAACTTTTACTCATAGTAGACCCACTGAAATTAATGGACATGCCTAAGTTAGGGCCATCAATTTGAATGTGGTTACTCTGAAAAGAATTTAGGAGAATACCACCCCTAGGGTTCTCCCCCCCCCCCCCGCTTAATGGTGTGCTTTATGTTATTTTATATTCTTTTTAATAAGTTTTGCTTTGGATATTTCTAATCATGGATAACCGTGGTTTTGTTTGTAAACCTCTTAACAAATGAGTAAATACATGAAACAAAATGCGCACATAATGGTATCCGTATGCTGCAGACAAGACAAGATTCTGACTACTTGTCACTATGATTGCTTTAAAATTTCACAGCTTTTCTTTTTTTTTTTGGTGGGGGAGGGAGCACGGAAGCCGTTGCAGAATTTGGCAACTATGACTTACTTTTGTGCATCACGATCCTAAGGATGTTTAATCAGAAGCAAGCACTGTTGAGCTCAGTGTTATTTATTCCTTTGTAAGTGTGTTTAGGATTTCAGCCTTAATGTAGCAGTTAGACACATGGCAGATTTTGACGGTAATATTTGTATGTGTAAAATGTCACACTCTATGGCCAAAACATCTGATACCCACTCAAGTGTCAGGAAACAGTCGCTAAAGTACCAGTGGAAATCTTTGGAATTACTCCATGACAACTCCTGTGAATGACAGTCTCAGGCAGCCTCTGTAGCTGACATGGAAATGTGATGCAAGTTTGTGAATAGGACCTCCTATCCCAGCTCTGGAACATAATCTCTTTTACCTTAACAGTAAGCACTTCCATGACCTGCTGACATTATCCAGTATAATGCATCTTCTGAGACCAAAATTATAATCACATCTACACAAGCCATTAATTCAACATTATTTATAGTTATCTTGACAATTTTGGATATAATCCACAGATTTATGGACACCACTGAATAATAATGACCATTGAATGATGTGCATAGTTTGTGCATCTTTGACATATAATTGCTGCTTGAAATTGATTGATTGCCCTCCAGCCAATATGGGCCAGTGAAGGCCAAACCTTCAGGATTCAGAACGGATCAACAGTGCTAAGGTATTGGGATCAGGCTGCTGGATCATACATTAATCTGCCCTGCCCTATTTATATTGCAGCACTATGTATAGAGGTGGCACTACACAGGGACAAAATGGTCTCTGCCTTCAATACAGAACTGCCATGGTATATCTGCCCTTACACCTCTGCTATGTATCTGTGAAGAATTAAACACCGTAGAATATGCAAAGAGAACAAAGGGTAGGGAGACTTCAACAGCATCCTGACCAGAAGAAAGCTGAGCTGCCCATTTCACTATAATAGCTGCCCATTTTCTCTATAATAGCTCCTTAGGATGTCCTGTGAATATTAGCATGCCCCTTACCTATTGGTATCCTGTAACCCTAATGAAACTTTTATTTATGGTGCATGAGTACACTTGGAATGCATGGCTACAATTTCAACAGTGAGCTTCCATTTATCGCAGCATACGAAAGAGATTTTTGGGGCGACAGAGCCTATTGCTCTCCACTGTTCCTGCCAATTGTGTTGGTTGCTGTCAGGGTGAATTAAGTCAGTTAGCAGCACCTATAGATGGCTGTGCAAGTCCAGGGAACAAGTGACGTGGTTGGTGAACATAATACAAACATTGCAGAAGCTTTCAGTTTGTGTTGAGTGTATAAAGAGATTTTCTTTCTTATGTTCACTCCAAACAAACATAACACTGTTATCCAAATTGGCTTCTGCCAATTGATTTAGCCCATGATAATGGCCTGAGTTGTCTCCTGAAAACATATGCAGGAGTTATTTAAAACAAATAAACATTGTTTATGCTGTGTTTATAAGACATGCTGTAAATTATTCTGTAAAGTTCTGATTAAGTTGCTTTGTGTGTGTGTGTTTCTTTGTTTACTGGAGCCCTAAGGTTTTCTTGCTGTTCTATTAAAAAAGATACCAAGTAGATATTGCTTGAAAACCCCCAATAGCAATATTTTAGAATGTAAGTCATTCTCTGTAACTCCAGTGGTTTTCACATCTATAGCTACTCATAGGGTTCATGCCGTATATTCTTTCGGTGTAATGTAAATGTGTGACATAGAAGGTTGGGCCCAAAGGTTCTTTTCCTTTGATGGATGGAGTCCATCTGTTGGAGAAAGACCCTTTCCATTTTTGAAAGGAAACCTTTGGATTCAGCCCAGAGCTCCCGGCATATTGATAATCGAAAGTACTGCAGAACTGCCAACTGTTCACTGATCTGCATGCCATTTGCTTGCCTAAATGGTACTCTTGAATATTGTGTTGGAAGAGATTTGAAGTTTAGCAGGCCTCACTCACGTTTTAGGGCAGAAGTCTTCGTGCACCCCTTCTCTCATTTTGTTCACTTG